GACACCTGTCTTTCAAACCAAGACAGCAAGCTTGAACAAAAAGCTCCCTTCCAACAAGGCTAGGAGAACCACAGGAAAAGTCAGCTTACATTTCCCACATGTATTATTACCAGTACTCTCACTGAAATAGTTTGATGAACTGAAATAGGCTTTGGTCTGGTGCTCTGATTTCTTGAGTATGGTAGGATTTCAGTGAATTCTGACTTCGGGTTCATAATGCTGTCCTGCTTTAAACTGCACTCTGTGGATGCAAGACCATCTTCTACTAATCTCTTGTTGAGTTTCAGAAGGTTGCAGCAAGGCCAGGCCACTGGAAACATAGACCAGTGAGTCCATCCTCTTTAAAGCAGAAAGGGAAGGAAGGACAAATTTGCAAAATCACTGTCTCATTCGTTACTTTGGAACAAGAGATATGTAAGCCAAAAACTTCTTTTCATCTTTTGCCTTGAGAGAACATGGGAGTTAACAAAGAGCTTCTCCCAGATGGATCTCAAAGTTTAGAGAGAAGATTTCGGTGGTATCTAGCCTAGTTATAGCTCAAATAGGAAAAGAGCTGCTTTGTTTTCCTCTTTCAGGAATTGTAAGACTGACATTTAAAAGAAGCCACGCTGCACAATTAGCCAAGCACTCAGCTATCAGGTTATGCCAAAACTGAGGCTTTGCACTTGACCTCCACTCCACATTCCTCGCCTCTGGGAACCAGCATTATGATGCTATTTACATAATCACAGTATTTCCCTAATACAACTGTATGCTTTTCCCCATGTGCCATCAGGTTGTGCCTATATTAGACAGAGAAGTAAAGGTCATATCAAGGACATCCCTAGATTCACCAATAATAGAGGGAAAGGGGGAAAAAAAGTATCTGAATTTCAGAGGGTGGAGAGAATTAATTTTCAATCATCTCATTTTTCTTTAAAAAAACCTACAGTGAAAACAAACAAAACAAGCAAACCCTTAAATTAGAGCCAGTCATTGGAAGACAGCCACGTATTTATCTAACTTCTGGTGGCACTGACAATTGAGTCAAAATTATTTACTGGATATTCGGTATCTATCTCAAAGATTATTACAAAACTAATGCATACACAGGTTGCTCTCCATCTGCACAAAATATCACCAAAATGTAATCTGACAAGCAGATTTTTCCCAATGTTACTAGCTTACAGTTAAAAAAAAAAAAGTCTCAGTTTTCAGTGAGTCCATAAGCAGGGACCAAGGTGGGAACGATGAGTAGGGATGGGGAGGCATTTCAGTGATGTTGCTGCTTAATGTCGAACCTCAGTGTCAAGTGGCAAAGGCAGCATGACTCAAACATGAAGAAAGGGGTAAGCACACACACACAGAAGCAAAAGGGAGGGGAAAAGCAGCCTAATCAAAACTAACAGCAGGATTTCTGCTCACACTTCAAACTGAGAGCAGATAAAGCCCGTCATTTTCAGTTCCTGAAAGCAAACCCCTGGAGTCCATGTGGAGAAGTGATCTGCAAAGAACTCGCAATCCTTTGAATTCAGTCATTTGCAGAAGAACTAACCTTCTTCCACCTCCCTGAACATTTTTCCCCATTCTCAGTCATCTATTCATTAGTATTACTACTATACTTACTGACCTTTTCTTTTATATGACAAACCCAAGCGTTAACTTTTGGAGCCTGAAGGTTCATTACCTGTACTCATTTTAGATGGCTTCCTATCCTCTCTCTCCCCTCCGTTCCAAGCAGTCTGTTCCTTGAACAACATCTCTTGAGAAGTCTAGGTATTCAGCATATCTTTTCTTCTTTTTGTTAGAAGGTATGCGTACCTCCTGGCTTCGTATTGTTCATTCTGGTCTGACGAAACCACCCCACCCCCACCAACTTTTTCCCTGAGGCACATTTCACTAATTTAGGGTGAGCATCACAGAAGCCGTTTGGGTATCCAGATAATATAGACAGGCATCCAGTGAGAGTAACCTCCAAAATGTCTGGAAAACCCCTTGAAAGTAGCAGGAAACTTGGTCTTGACTTGTTTGGGCACTCTGGTGCATTGCAACAGCTGCAGCATGTAGCTTTTGGTACCGGAGTATCACCAGGGCCAGACTCACAGCAACCAACATCCCACAGGAAACAGTCATAGGGGTGTAAAACTGCAGAGCATGCACAGCCCTAAGTCAGGATTCCCAAAACTTGTAGCAAAGTATTATGCTATTGCAGAAAGACATAACCAGAAAAGAAAAGGTACAGGCCGGACTTTCAAAAGCTTGCTGGCATACTTCAGCATGGACAGGCTCTGGGCAAGCAACGTCTGCCAGTGTAACTAGCCTTTGCCAACTGCAACTCAAAAAGAAGCACCAGCATCCTTGTCAGAAAAGTTTCCAAAGATCGCAAGTAGGACTATAAAGGGACGCCCTGTAACTCCACTCAGTTCCAACCCAGCATTAAAACGTCAGCCTCTTAAGTGCTAAAAAACTCTTCAGTGCTTTAACCAGAACATATCCATCATACAGGGGGAAGCAAATCTCACCAAATTTCAATATGCTGCTGAAATTTGAAAAAGAAAGTAGCAAGAATGTCTTCCGCCAGACATACTACTTTCTGCTGATATTTTCCAGAAGACAAGATTAGTTTCATGCTGTCTTGCAGCATGATCAAGGGCAATGTAAGTATAAGAATTTAGTGAATTCTATTGCTAACTGTCACAAGTGATAAATACAATGCATAATTAAACAAGCGGCACCTAGACTGCCTGGAGGAAACAATTATTTAGAGCTTGGATTAGGACAGACTCATTCCTCTCACATTTTTTCATTACATTCTCACATTTCACAAACCTAATGAAAATCAACAGCTTTATATTAGCTCCTGTGGCTGCAGCTGCCCAGGAGCTGCCTGCTGGGAACAGACCCAACGTGCATCACCAGACAAGCGCCCACCTTGTGAGTACATATGGATCTGCATCTCCAGAAGAACGCAGGTGAAAACCTGAACCAGGTTCTCCAGGCCCAGCAGCTCAAAGACCTCCCGCAGTGGGTAGTCAGACAGCGGCAGCTCGTTGGGTCCAGGTCTTTGGCAAATGATGGGCTCATAAACCCCATAAAACTTCAGCGACCTCCCTGGGGGCGGAAGGGGCACCTCGTAGAGGATGTTGTGGATGTAGCTCTCCAGGGGCAGAGGTGGCGGCTGCTGGGAGGTCACTGCCTTATAGAGCTGGATCAGGAACTTCTTGCAGGCTTGCATGAAGGGCAGAGGGGTGATGAGGCATATGCATTTGGAGACGTACAGTGTGTCTCTGCTGATGTCATAGGAGTTGTACCGCTGGAGCTTGGCGAGGGACGTGGCATCACCCTCATCAATACTGCTGGCAAGGGAGTCCATGCTGCACGAGGAGGAGGCGCAAACACTGCTGTATTGCTCTGCGTTGTGCATCTGGTAGAGTGTCTGCATGGCTGTGCAGATCTGCTTGCTCGTGACCTCCTCGTAGAATGTGAGCACAAACCCGTATGTACGAGAGCCATCTTCTCTGGTGATGATGAATGAATGGAGCTGCGGATCTCTGTTATCTGCCTGCGTCCTGAAAGACAGCCCTTTGGGCATACACAGCTAAGGAAAGAGAAAGAAATAGATACAGTTATCTAAGCTACAATTTTATTTTGTTACTTTTGCTTTACAGGCACATTCTTTTTATCCACTGCATCATGACAAGCCATTTATCATCAAACATAATCCCCCTGAAAAGTAGCCCAAGAGCAAACAGCCTAAAACTGATGCCACTTAAAAGAGTTAGACATGACTGAAGAAAGGAAAACACCCTCCAAAATGACATATCTATTAAGTCATTACAACTCATTTTCATTACTTTGTGAAATTGTTTTCACTACTGAACATTCTTTGTCTCATTTACTTAAGCACCATATAAAAACATCCATTTTTGTTCTCATTTGCATATACATAGTGCCCACAGTACTCTCAAATCAGAAAGCCAAGGAAGCATCTTATACCACTGAAATCAAATTACAGAGACTTCTTGAAATTCTTTGATCTTCCCTAATTTTCTTAAAAGGGGAAAAAAAAGCAACACAATTGACTGACAGCTATTACACTTACTTTCTTCCTTAAGTGCTACAAAATTGGACTGGAGTAAGTGGGTGGGGAGGGAAACACTCAAAATCTATGAAAGCCTCTTTTTTTTTATTTACCACTCAGCAAAATCTTTTGCAGTGATTCTGCTACACTGGGTTTCTCTGAAACATAGTCCTGGTGATAACTCGAGGCATTTTTCCAGGCATTCCTCAGGAATTCTATCAGCCATCTAATACTAAATAACAAACATCCAGCAAAACTTGTCTGAATGTGCGTCAGCACGAAACTCCTTATGTTCTAGCTAAATCAGTATGTTTATAAACGAAGAACTAAAGCTTCCTTTGTACTTTCCATCTGATGAAATGAAAGGAAAGAAGAAAGGGAGAGCCTTCAAAGTGCTCCTCCTGTTCCAAAAGGCAACACCAGAAGGCAACTTTCCCAAGGGATGTGAACCAACACATGACTGAGTGCATCCCCCACCTTGACCAGAAGTAAATTTATCTGACGGTGGAAGAAGTCAAGAGAAATAATCATATATTTTCAGGCACGTCCTACTGTGAACTTCACCAGTGCACCTTGCAGAGACCTGATAAAGCTGCTACCAGCCCAGCTGGGATTCAGGCAGGTGGGCCAAACTCACTTCACAACATGCTAGCAAGCCCATAAGTCATCTAGGACAGCTCTCATGTACTGCTCTAAAAGTTAATATATAGAGAAATAAGTAGCCTGGAGTTGGTAGAAGAATTTAATTCAATTGATGGGCTTTGCTGACATAAAGCATGAAACTGCAGCTTGGACCATTTTTGAACAGCAGCCACATTTTCACTCAAAAGGTTTATAGTTTTTATTGAGGCATTAACAGCAGTGTCATGGTTAAGGCTTTTCCAATAAAGAAGTAGTAAAAAAATCCTTGTTTCATACTTTATTTAAATTCATTCTGCACAATAAATATCTCTTAACCTCATGGTTTGGCAAGCGTGCTTAATAAAAATTTATTTCTGGAATGTGGGCATTCAGTGGTGGCTAGAGCCTTATCAAATCAAATCAGGCCAAAATCTTAGGTTTTATTCTCAACACTAGCAAAGATTACGTTTTCTTCACTTTACAGAAAAACACCCAGATAAGCAAATTATATATACTGGTACAATCAAGAACAGATAAGCATCAGGGAAATTCAGACCAGCTGAGACAGTTTCAGAAGGCTGTTTTAAATAAATTTCCTCCAAGTCTTAATTATGATTCTCTCATCCTTTATCTACTGAATATACATACACAAAGGGACACCCATCTATTAAGTTTCAGCCTGGCACATGCAGAATACCAACATTTTAAGACCCTGGCTGCCAACCCTGGCACAGAGACTGCCACTGTTGTTAGACCCACAAGAGGACACACGGAAAGGCAGAGAAAGAAAGAAGATGGGAAAGCACCGAGGCAGGGAAGAACAACCAAGAGTCATTTAAGAAGCTAAGATCAAAAGGAAGGGCCTGCGCTCATTTTCCAGCAATACAGAAAGCTTCAAATTTGCAGTTAATTCGTGAAAACTTTCATCTTAGTGCCTTGGACATCAATCACTTCTCACCTCATCTGTGTTTGTCACATGCGCCACAGGAGAGCGTTGGGGAAGAGCAGCTCGGGACGTGCTAAGGGGATTGAAAGCCTGGCCCACTGGTGAAGCCGGCTGGCTAACAGCGAGAAGGCTGCCAGTCACCTTTATTGCATCTTTGTATAAACACAGAAAACTATCCAAAATTACTGATCAAAGGATAGGGTTTTGGTTTTCAGAGCACTTTACTATTTATTTTTAAACATATCCAACAGCAGAAAAATGTTGAATTAAATCATATTTGCAATAAGGCTTGTAATCAACATGGTTTGTAAAAACATACGGAAGCTGCACAAAGACAGACAAGATATCGACTAATCCATACCCTATCTCTAAAAGTGATAAGCAGGATATACCCTTTTCCTAAACATGGAGGCAGGACACACAGTAATTCCCCCCTCCCGCCCCCTTCCTCCTCCCAACCATCATCAGTTGCAGATATTTCTGAACCAAAGGTCCCCTCTGGACCACTGCCCATGAGCACTGGTTCACCTCTTCTCCATTAGATCCTCTATTTCACTTTTTAAGCCCCTATATATTTTTCAGCAGCAAGCTCCATACCCAAATTGCACAGTGGGTGAGGGCGTGGAGAGAAAGATGCTTTTGCTTGTCTTAAAGCCTGCTCCTTCAAATTACACTGGAGAACCTTTAATTCATTTATTTCAGTACATGAGTTGTTAAATGGACAATGCTTCCTTGGACTTCAGAAATACAGGCTAAGATTTCTATGCCTTGATGAACCAGAGGGCTGAAATAGGAGGTTTATTTCCTAAAAATTTCACTTTCCTCTCTGCTGACAGCTTTAGTTTGGTACCGCACATTACTTGCAGAACGGCCACAGAAGATAGTAGGTGACATTAGGCAGGGATAATCACAAAAAGCAGTGGGGGGAAAGAAATAGTTCCCTATTAAAGACAGCTCTGTATTTTGATATATACTTTGAAAGGGAGAGAAAACAGGAGTCCTAGGCAGAGTGATTGCTTGGGACTTCAGGGGGTTATTTTTAAAGCGACAGGATGGTTTCAGAAGGCAATTGAAATTCCTTAGGCATCCAGCAAAGCCAGAGTTCTCACAAGTTAACCTTCAAGGATTTATGCATTTTCTTCTCTGAGGAAAATTGCTTCTGGAAGCTCACATAACGCAAACACACAAGCAGAACTAATACAGCAAGGCAAGATCAGAAAGGCCAATAATTGCCTCAAGGGATTCTGTGGAGGTGGATATTACTTTAAATGATGTTTCAGATCAAAACAATAAAGAAGTTTTCCAAAAGATGATTTAAAAGACCATTAAATACTGCTGCTGTTAGTAAATGCTTTTTTTTCTCCAAGACATACTGCAAATGAAAGATGTGTTCTTCAGCCATTTGATTTCAGCTGAATGCAGCTCAGTTCAATTATTTTATTTTAATAGGTCTCTTGCTGGTTTTAGTATTCCATTTTTATCCAATAATATGATCACACTTCATGAATACTAGACATTTTCAACTGTAATGTGTGAGACAAATAATGCAGCAATTCCAGCTATTACCTCTTGCTGCCATATTCCTGCT